AGGACCAACGATATCGAGAGCTAATCGTTCAAAAGGTCTAGTAGAAGTGGAAGTTATCTCGATTGGAGCCTTATTTGACATTCTCAGCGGCTTATTAATTTGGCATAATTGGCATTTCTTTACGTAATCTACAGTATCAGAGCGCATACCCTTCCAATAGTAGGCGGCTTTAATTCGTTTATACATACGATTTGATCCTGGGTGACCCGCAATAGGGTAAATAAAATGGAAAATATAGGCAATCATATTATATACTTTAATATAAGCTAACTTAGAAAATGGATCTGAAAAGTCTGACAAGGCGAGATCTGTAATATCAGGATTTTCGACTAAAATTTTATCTCCGAGTTTTATCATTAATTTTTAAGTATCTTTAAATTTAGTTTCTTCATAATGATGAACTTTAGTATATAAAAAATAGTAGTATTTATTCTTATCTTTCACACATTGAACTGTAAAAGGTTCGCGTTCGGAATTAAGCAATTCCTCCGGCTTATCTAACTGCGATAATATTTCTTCACAGTGAGGTACAGATGAGTCGAAATCTAAAGAGACAGGACACGCAATATGTTTTAACTTAGATAAATGTAATCCTTGAGTGCATTCTATAATTGTTGTATTTGAAATAGAAGTTTTATTAGTGAATTGGTCTTTAAAATATTTTTCATAACTAGAATTATTTAAAGTGTTAATGTCTATGACATTAACGGGACAGCGAGATAACGCATCAGCATTGGAGTTTAAACGGCCTTGTTTATAAACGATTTCGTAATCATATTCTTCGAGTTTTAGCCGCCAACGAATGAGTCTACTACCTGGGTCTGGTCTGGTCTTTGACATTAAATAGCCATACTAATGGTCTGTGGTCGGTGACAATTTTAAATTTATTACCGTAGAGGTAAGGGTGGAATGTTTTGACTGCGAATAGAATGGCTAAGAGTTCTATTTCCGTAGTTGAATAATTACCTTCGGCACGATTTAAAGTTCGTGATGCATAAGCTATTGGCTTGTCCTTGCCTACAGGACCTTGGGATAAAACTGCACCCACGGCGTAATTACTTGCATCCGTGGTTACTACGAACGGCTGAGAGAAGTCTGGGTATTGTAGCAGCGGAGCAGTGATTAATTTTTCTTTTAAAATGTCGAAAGCGGTTTGTTGTTATAGAGACCAGTGGAAAGTAGCGTCCTTTTTTAATAAAGAAGTGACTGGTTTCGTTAATTTGGAAAAATTATCAATAAATCGGCGATAATAGCCTATTAGGCCTAGGATTTAATTTCTTTAGAACTCTGAGGAATTGGGAATTGAGATACTGCTTTTACCTTGTCTGGATTTGGAGAGATACCTTTATCAGTGATAATGTGACCAAGATAAGTTACTTCACGTTTTAAGAATTCGCACTTGTTTGGTTGCAATTTTAAATTGTATTCGCGGAACTTATCGAACACTAATTTTAGCTTTTCCATATGTTGACTTAAATTTTGACTATAAATTATGCAATCATCTAGATATACATAGCAGTGTAGACCTTGTAGTCCTGATAAGACAGTATTCACGAGTTGCTGGAAGTTTGAGGGGCCATTTTTCAAACCAAAGGGCATTCTAGTAAATTCATAGTGTCCAGACATGCTCGAATTAATAATTATAGTAAATCCCGTTTTTGGGGCATCTTTAGCATCCATCTTTATCTGGTGGAAACCGCTAGGAAGATCAAAAGTTGTAAAATATTTCGAATGGCCTAATTGATCTAAGATATCAGTTATAAGAGGCAGCGGATAACTTTCTGAAACCGTGATATCATTAAGGCGACGATAATCAATGACTATTCTCCACTTTTTCTTGCCAGAAGCGTCTAATTTTTTCGGAACTACCCATACCGGGGCGCTCCAAGGCGAAACAGAGGGACGAATTATATTCTGATTTAGCATTTTGAGAATTTGTGTATCAACTTCTTCTTTGTAACACTCGGGGAAGCGATACGATTTTACGTGAACTGGAGGTGCGTTACCCGTATCTATTGAGTGTTGGATGCCATTTGTAAAAGAGAGGGGCTTACCTTCGAGGTCAAACATATCCGTATAATCGGAACAGCAATCGAGAAGTGCTTTCTTTTCTTCATCGTTGAGATGAGAGCAGCGTAAAAGATTCAATACTCGATTTATTCGATCAGATTTGGAAGTCGATATGGAATACAAAGATTTACTAGATATAGAATTATCGCAGGAAATAGAATAATCTTTAATCTCTACGTCTGTATCAGTCATATTTAAAACGGTTGTTTATTTGATTTTATTGATACTATACAATTCGCGACGTAAATACCCTTGCAGGTGTGATCTAGAACTAATGCTTCATTATTCTGATAAATCTCGAGCGAGTAGTTTGATATAGCGCATTCAATGACTGCTTCTGAGCATGCTGGAACGGTGTACGTCGGCTGATGAAATATAATAGGAACTTGGTGACCGCAAAGAGTCATTATCTTAGAACTATAATCTATATTAACATTAAAATATTTAAGAAAATCTGTACCAATAATACCGTCGTAATTAAGGTTTATGCTACCCTTAATGAGATAAAATTTGTGCTCGTAAGTTTCATCACATAATAAAAATTGTAATTAGATTGAGCCTATTGTTTCGCTATATGTATCCGTATCATTTATACCTTTGATTCTTACTTTGTCCTTAAGGAGTTCATGTTTCGTTTTTAAACATGAGTGTTTTATGACACAAACGCTTGCGCCGGTGTCGATAAGAAGCTTGAGACACAGGATTATTTGAAACACTTAGGAATATTTATCAAATGGAATTAAAACGAACCTGGAAAGGAACAATATAATTGCTGACTATAGCTATATTAAGGAAAAGTACCGTGTGATTAAATAAATGCTTACTTATATTTTATTGCCTTATAAAATGGGATATAACAGTGCGTTATATGTTGCCAGCTCGAGTCGTCGTGGGTGGCAACCGAACCTCCACAGGAGATTCTTAGCACCCCTGCCCCGCCGTTACCATGGTCGCCACCGTAGCCAGGAATAGCGGGGCCGCCGGGGACTTGGGGCCGTTTGTTTGCGTCGTTACTCATGGGGGGATATTTGCCATAGTTACCACGCTTGGCGAGCGGGTTGGCAACCGCAGTTTTTTATTATATCATTGCTGTTACCAGGAAGATGCTGCTGCCCATCTCCTGCCTGTCTCCCTTTGTCGCCTCTTACGACACCCACGGGAAGATATGAGGTAGTGGATATTCTCAACCGCCACTACACGGCAAGTCGTGTAGTGGTGGAAAAGACGTGCAAGTCATCATCTCGCATAAATAAGGATCTGTAATTTCACCGAATTCCGAACACGGAAGAAAGGTAAATAAATATTTTTATTATTATTTTACATTTTATATATTTTGTTATGTCATGCGGACATAAAAAATAGGTACTAGTCGCTGGGAATGTGTTTCGAAGTTTGATTTTTTCTTCTTCATCCAAATCATGTGGTTGGACAGGCTAAGGTCTTGTACCATAATATAGTGCCTCGTCTTCGGTCTTTCGAAGTTTTTATAAAATAACAAGGATTAGGGGTCAATTTTTAGGTTTATCGGGGTGCTAATTACGAAAATAGCATTTATTGTTAAATCCAAGATGGCGGTCCTTTTTTAATAAAATATGTATGATATAGATGTCACTTTCGAGGTTCCTTGGGGGTGTTGATTAAAAAATGACATATATTTTCAAATGCAAGATGGCGGACATAATTTTTTTAATGTTATCGATGCCAACTTTGAGGTTTACGGGGTGATGATTAAAAAAACGCCATTCATTTTCATATTCAAGATGACGGACATTTTTATAAAATATGATATGGGTTTCAATTTCGAGGTGTCTTGGGGTGCTGATTAGGAAAATACAATCTATTTTGAAATCCAACATGGTGGAGTTTTTTTTAATAATATGAAACGAATGTCAATTTTGAGATTTCTCGGGGTGACAATTACGAAAATTTGTTAATAGGTATTTCATTTAAAAATTTTAGATGCAAATTATGTATGGAAGTTATTAGAAGATCTGATTTAGTTGAAAGAACTTTAAAAAGTCTAAATAACACATACATTTGCAGTTTGCATTTCGAAAAGAGTATGCACGGGAAGAAATCACTGAAGAAAACAGCTATACCAACGTTAATTTTACCAACTAACGATTATTATTATTATTATTATTTATTTCAGATCTACATCGTCATCAACAATGTCCTCCAGACCGAATTTCGGCCACGGCGGCCTGCCTCAACGGAGACTAGCCATCGGCGGAGGACAGGATTATAGTGCCCAAGCGCATGCGCAAGCACAGGTGCACTCTCTATTCCCTCACTCTCATAATTGGATGGGATGGTAAAACGACACAACCGTAGAGAGATTAGACGCAGGACCAACGGCTTTCCAAGGCACGGGGGTGAGACACCGCCAACTTCCTGACTCCGGGCAACTACTGAGAATTTCTAGACGGAAAAACTCAATAATTAGTTTTTCTTTCGGCACAACCCGGGATTCGAACCCAGGACCTCATGATCAGCAGTCTTACTACGACAACAACTGGACCAACGAGGCAGTCAAAATAAATAATTAAATTAGTAAAAGTTGTTGATTTGTGATAACCCTAGCCTCCATGCTTTGTCCAGACGTTGTCTGCATTTACCAAGAGATCAAGGGCGTCGTCCTACTGTATGTCTTTATTATACTGTGCCTCTTACACTCATGTCAAAAAGTCTCAAATCTAAAAAACATCGCAAATATAACGCATCAAAAGATTGTAAACAAAAACTACGTCAAACTAGGCTGTATGGGCGTAGATACCTTTGCCTTTAAGCAAAAATGACAGTTTTACAAAGTGGACATTGGCTTGTTGTACTCGTTTTTGTATTTATTTATATTATTATATACTAAATAGAAATCAGCAGTAGAAGTATTTGTCAATGTTACATACCTTAACTATCCTTACACTTTAATAATGGAGGTGACTAGAAAGAGTGGGTTTCTAGCAATATTAGTACTGTTTACTGTTAACCTTATGGCTGATATTACATTAAATATATTTTTCAGATTTTAAAGAGAGCCTCCCTTTGATAAGCGAGTCTATAGATAAGGCAGATTTTTTAGTTATAGATGCTGAATTTACGGGCCTAATAAACGGTCGGGACGTGTCAATATTTGATTCTCCCGAAGAGTACTACACAACTTTGCTCAATGGATCTACAGAGTTTTTACTTATTCAGTATGGTTTGTGCGCTTTTTATTGGGATGAAAAGGAAAACCATTATATGAATGACGCATACAATTTCTACTTATTCCCACGCGGTCGCCCAGGGCCCGAAAAAATGTTTCTCTGCCAGAGCTCTAGTTTAGACTTTCTGGCTTCACAGGGCTTTGATTTCAATAAACTTATAAAAGAAGGTAATAAATTATTATTTCAGACAACACATTACATTTATTTATATTGTTTGTATTTAATTCTAGACTAATGAGATTGTTTGATGTCTAGTAATTGAAAGTTATCTTAAAAGTATATTATGCATTCTTTAAACACAGAATTTTTTCACTATTTGCTAACGGAGATGAAAGAATTCCCAGTATAAAGTTATTATTTTGTAAGGTATCATCAAAGGGGAAGATTCCTTACATAGCCTTAGATATAATTTTTGTTGTTGAGATTGCATATTTGAAATAGACAGTAGTTGTTTCATGTGTATTTTTAGGTATTTCATATATGACAGAGCCAACCGAGACTAGATTACGTGAAATTCTTATAGAGCGTCAGAAATCTTATTCAAATGAAAAGGACACCATTACTATACCAGAAGAGAATAAACAACAAATTGAAAGTATATGGTGAGTGTAAGCAATGGTGTTATAATATAAAGGTTTAAATAACTGCTGAAGAATCTTTTTGCATTATTAATAAAAATATAAGCTATACTGTATGTGATTGCCTCATAGGTTGAATGATCATAAATTTGATTGCTAATCATGAAATCCCTTGTTAGAATCTTAGGTTGAGCCTAAATCAGTTATTGGGTTTTTCTGTCACAAAATGCTTAGTATCACTACAAAGTAAAAAAGTTGGCCCTGTTTCACCCTTGTGTCTCAGTAAGCATCTAAAACCATTGGTCCTGTGCATGATTTCCTCCAGTTGTGTCAGTTTGCCTTCACATTGGACAATGAGTGTGAGAGAATTAACAGTGCGTGCAAAGTATTATGAACATTAGCAACATTGTAACTGGGTTTAACCCCTTCGCTCTGACAGCGCGCGACATGTTATACTCCCGTTCGCTCGGGACCGTAATGGCGGGAAAATTTGCAAATTAGCAAATTTTTTTGCTATATTGCAAATTTTGCTATATTTTCACTTTGAGACAATATTTATGGATAAAACTTACAGGATTTCTTGTTGAATGTATAAACTATCGAATAAAATTATTTTTGGTTGCTAGAAATTGTAATAAAATACATAAATTACCCTGTATAGCATAGTAGTACCATATACTTCAATTTTAGTGACAAAATTACTACTAATTTGAATTCTACACTTTTGTTTTTGGAGAAATTTATATGAAAATGTTTGGAAATATGTATATTTTTATGTTTTATATGTTTCCATTCGTTACTCATACCAAAATATTGAAATATAAAAAAAACAATAATATTATTTTATCGGTGTGACATTTAGAACAATATTTCAAAAATAATTATGTGTGAATTTGAAATAAATACAACGTCAAGTTATTTGAAATATGTAAGAAAACTATTTTTACTTACATTTTACACTAAAAATAAATGAGAATTTGAAAAATAACACATTTATGACCCAGCCGCCATAATGGGCCTTCCAGATTTTGAAGCACTTTTGGCAATTTACTTTTCACTTTTTATACCACAAATTATATATCTACGTGTTCACTATATTACAAGGAATATAAAAAAGTATAATACTTTCGTTTTTAGTCCAGACACAATTATAAAATTCTATAAAAAAGACGGAGCACCTTCATCAAAACGACACGTGGAACGCCGAAAGTTCAGAGTGATTTCTTTTTTTTTTTTCTAAGAAACATTGCCAGGTTATGGTTTAAAATAAAAGAGCATATCTTTGTCTTTGATACTATTATCTATTGCATATTGTCTTTGGTTTTGTTTTAAAGGAAAAAGTAGTTTTTTCATAAGGCAGTACTTCTGATATTATCTGATCTAATTAGCCCCGTACTAGAGCGGGCGTAAGGTAGGTATTGTATGATCTGATTGGTAGCCGAGTGAAAGGGTTAAACTCGTAATAAGTTTGCTATCAGAGAGTAACCCTTCTGTTCTTGTACTATTATTTATTTTGTGGTATTAGGATGCTCAAGGTCATGTTCAGCAAACTATGGAAACAATGGCAATGCTTTAAGTTTCTCTGCTTGATGGACTTACAAATAAAGATATTTGCTCTAGCATCAGAGTGACATACATCGCGCAATGGAAATGTAAGCTGAATGTGCAAAGACCTGGCTATATAGATTGAAGAATTGTTAACTGATGAGTTTCTCAAGTGGCAGCCTCGTACTGGTAAGCAAAGTATAGGGCGCCCCCCCACTAGATGGAGTGACAACCTGATCAGAGATGTAGGAAGTCGAAAGATGCAGAATCTGTGGAATTATTTGGGAGAGACCTATGATCAGCAGCAAACTTGTGGTGGGCTGTAATAATGTTGAATGACTTATTAGGAAGTCGCTGCAGCTTATGCCCTGGTTTGTTTCCCTATGTTTCCTTTAATAACACTCACAGGCAACATGAGGTAATAGACACAATATTTGGAATGCAGCTTAGTGCTCGAAACTAGGTTATTCACTATTTTACTTTTGTATGGATATCTAAGTAAATTTGAAATTTGAAAAAATTTGGTTCTAATCTGAGCAAAGGAAAGTCTATCTATAATTAATATCTTAGATTATTTTTCTGTGTACAGCCTTAAATAAAATTACAACCTTTTAATGTCACATAGTTGGGGACAAGCTCCTCCTATTTCTGATAGGGCTAAAAATCACAATACAAAGCAATTTGTCTACCACTTTGCCCCAGTGCATGTTGCCAGACTTCGCACAGTTTTGAAATATTTTATTTTTAAGACATGCAGGTCTGCTCACAATGTTTTCCTTCACCACAAAGAATGTGATAAATATTTCTCAATTGGTGTTCTCAGTTATTGTTCCCATGGCACAGATTGTCCTAGCTAACCAAGCTTAAAATATTTTTTACAATTATTGATGATGTAAACAAGATATTTTATTTTAATATTATTATTTTCCTCAGCAAAAAAGTGCGCGACTTCCTGGATGAGAATAAATCCGATGAGATGGAGATAGACCGCTGCAATGCGTTTATTAGGCGGCTGTTATTTCAAGAGCTTGGCACACGGTTCAAAAACGAGTTATTTATCGAAACCAAGATATTGGAGAACAAAAATAGGTAGAGAATACTTACTGTTCCAATTTTTTATTAGAAGAGAAATGATAAGTTCTTAATTATCCAAATATAATAATATTAATAATATTCCGTATACAGAATTATTTTGCAATAACCAGCCAAATTTGCAGAGAAGATTCAGTTCAGAATAAGTAGTATAGGCAATTGGCGAAGAAAAATTAATTCATATAAATCTCAAAGATTCTGTTCTTCTTATCTTTTAAATTGAAAATGTGTGGTAATGCGTTATTTTAACTGATTTTACTGTGCATGCACACATTTGTAAGAGTTGATCGGTAGGAAAAAATGTTGCTGCCCATAAATCACATTAAATTTGGGATGATTTCAAATAAAAGTAGAAACATTATTTACTTATATTTTCAAAAACTGCAATAACGGTATATCATTATTTATATATTTGTGCTTAAGTTTAAAATTTGACTACTCTGAAAAATATCCCTATATAATGATTAATGAATGATACATTATTTAATTGTGATTATGTATGTCAAGTGTTAGAAAAGACTTGTTATGAACTAGCTAAAAAAATTTAATTAAAAGCCCCTTGATAAAATTATTCTTTGGTATCTAATCTCTCTATTACTAAAAATAATTGCCTATCTAAAGAGTTGTAGCATGCGATTAATTTGTTATTCTAAATGTTCTGTTTTCATCCGATATCATTTTATAAGTAAAATTAATAAGATTGAATAGATCCACTGAAGTGATTAAAGATAAATTCTACATTAATTAAGGACTTCAAGCAATTAAATAAGAAAAAATATGAAAATATATTTACTATAATTATAAAACATATATTTTCATATTTTATGTATTATAAATGTCTGATGTTAGGCATATTCTTAAAAAGCATTTAGATTTGATTATTAATAGGAATTTAATTTTATATTAGTTTTTCTTAACTTTATCTATGCAGGATTCTTAAGGTCACGCGGTTAAAATCAGAGAATGAAGGGAAGAATAAGGATAACCAAAAGAAGGAGAAGGAGTGGGAAGAGTTTGAAGATGCTGTTGGCTTTTCGAAAGTAGCACGAATGATCAGTCAGTCAGTAAGTTCAAATAGTAAAATAAGGTTTAACTTTAACGTAAATAAAAGAGTTCCTAGGAAATTTATAAAATTACATACAATGGTGATGTAATACTACATTACCATGAAGTGGCAGTGTAAATTATATCCACTACCCCATGTCATCCCGTAGGTGTTGTAAGGCGGCAGAGGGTAACAAAATAGGAGATGTGCCTCAGCGTCTTCCTAATAATGAAATAAAAAACTGCGGTTGCCAGGCATGGCAACTATGGCAAATATACCCCTATAAGGCAATCTATTATGGGGAAGGCCTATGTTCAGCAGAAGTCTTTAATAGGCTGTAACAGCTTAACAGTAAATATAAGCCTAGATATAGACCATCATCATTATCATTACAGCCCTTCTCAAGTCCACTGCTAAACATAGGCCTCCCCCAAGTAACGCCACAAAGCACGGTCCTGAGCCACCTGCATCCATCGACTTCCTGCATATCTTACCAGGTCGTCACTCCATCTAGTGGGGGTCGCCCTACACTACGCCTACCGGTACGAGGCTGCCACTCGAGAACCTTTCTTCCCCATCGGTTATTGGTTCTTCGAGCTATATGGCCGGCCCATTGCCACTTCAGCTTACTAATCCGTTGGGTTATGTCGGTCACTCTGGTTTTACTGCGGATATCCTCATTTCTGAGTCTATCACGCAGAGAAACTCCGAGCATAGCCCTCTCCATAGCTCGCTGAGCGACCTTGAGCGTCCTCATACGGCCAGCAGTGAAGGACCACGTCTCAGATCCGTAAGTCATCACTGGCAACACGCACTGGTTGTACAATCTAGTTTTTAGAGATTGAGGTATACCTGACGAGAAGATATGTCGTAATTTCCCGAACGCTGCCCAGCCGAGTTGAATCTGTCGATTGACCTCTCGGTCGCAGTTGGACTTACCTAGTCGGACTATTTGTCCCAGGTAAACATACTCGTCAACAACTTCGAGCATAGTGCTCCCAACAACTACCGGCATAGGTGTGACATGGACATTAAACATAATTTAATTATTTGTTTTGTCCATGTTCATCTTAAGACCTATCCGTTGGGACGCACTATTGAGGTCATTGAGCATAGTGCTTAAGTCCTCCAGCGATTCTGCCATAAGGACTATATCGTCGGCAAATCGAAGGTGAGTGATGTACTCGCCATTGATGTTAATACTGTATCCTTTCCAGTCCAGTAGCTTGAAAACATCTTCCAATGCAGCGGTGAAGAGTTTCGGGGATATAACGTCACCCTGTCTTATACCCCTCTGCCGGGCTAGCATGAGCAGGGGATAAAAATTTTATCCACCGATTATATCCACTGACAAGGGATAAAATTGTCTTATCCCTATGTCAAAGCTTTATCCACCCTGCGAGCATGGGCCTATGGTGGATATAATATCGACAGTAGATAAACTTATCCCCGCGCATAGATAATATACCATAGTATAAAGCTATAAACTATACTAGCTAAAAACTAGTTTTAAGATTAAGTAGATTTACATTAACTTATATTTTCTTTTACCTTTTGTTTATTATATTGCTAAACTGTTCATAATTTTTGTTAAACATTTATAATATTTGTTATATTTATTTTAAGCGTATTTCTGCGTTGTTTTTATTTTTCTATTATTCTAATTCTTTCTTTATTTTCTTTTGTATAATATTTAAGTAAAATGTACATTGCTTGTATCAAATCGCAGGTATTACTTCGCTTGTGATAGCATTTATTAAAAAATATGTGTTTAGAATTAAGCCAATTGTGAAACTGGACAATACAGACCCTTTGGAGGTGGTGTAACCTCTTGAAGAAATTAAAAAAAATATATCCCCGCAATTACTGCCATTATAAGAAAATTACAAAATACATCAAAATTGATGTCTACTCTAAGTCACAAAGATTTAATTTTAATTGAAAATGATGTAGCATGAAGAATAAAAATGTAATGATTTCAAACAAAACAAGGAATAAATAATTTTATAATCATGAGTATAGTATATTTAGCACGCTTTGCTAAAGAAATAGCATATTTCTTAATTTAAACCTTTGAATTGTAACTTTACTAAGTTTGATAACTTTATTTTAAAACATTATAATACTTACCTAAAATATAGTATAGACCGATTCTATTATCATTAAATTTGACTTGACCATGGAACTCGCTTTGGGTATTGTTGACACAACCTATGTAATTAAATCATGGCATTGAGCTATTACCGGTAGTACCGGTAGGCGTAGTGTAGGGCGACCCCCCACTAGATGGAGTTACGACCTGGTAAGACATGCAGGAAGTCGATGGTTGCAGGTGGCTCAGGACCGTGCTTTGTGGCATTACTTGGGGGAGGCCTATGTGCAGCAGTGGACTTGTGAAGGGCTGTAGTGATGATGATGATGATGATGATTGAGCTATTGAGACTTTTGGACAAGGTGGTTGTAATAGATGCTTACTTCAATATGCACTGGTAGTCCATCCACAGAATTAATAGGCTTTAAAGCCTCATAGAGTTCTTTACACAAATACAAAACAATCTTTAAGCGTCCGAAACCGGCGTAGAAATTCGTTGTCGGATAATTCCAATAGATTAAGTATTCTGATCACGTATCGATCGCTGATGTAATTCTCTTTCTTGTTTTTCAATTTCTGACACGAAAATGTAGTTGCAATAGGCTCGAGACATCTTTTTTTGTATTAAAATGGTAAGAAGATAAACTTAAACCCACGTCCGCGAAAGAGGATAAAATTGTCCCTTTCAAATGTCAAAAAGGGATAATTTTTTCTCTTTCCCTTGGCCCCATGCTACGGACGGGGAGATATATGTCCACGCGTTATGTCAAACGGGGATATACTATAGAGATAAGATAATGTTACCTCTTGTCAGTGGATATAATCTGGGGATATAATTTTTGTCTCTTGCCCATGCTCGCAGGGTGGATAAAACTAAGCAGGGGATAAAAATTATATCCTCTCTCCGGGGATATATTCTCTCCGGCTCATGCTAGCCCGGCTGCAGTTGGATAGGTTTCGAGCTCTGGTTCTGTACTCGGATAGCTATCGTAGCCCTACTGTACAAACACTTCAGCACTTCGATATACCGACAGTCAACTTGGCACCGCTGAAGGGACTGTAGCACCGCCCAAATTTCGACGGATATAGACCATAGGATAAACAAAAAGATCTATAAGAGCCCGCGTAAAAGAACATGTAGCTGACGTGAAGCACCAACGTTCCGGGAAGTCTGCAGTCTGTAACATGTTGACGACGCTGCCATTACATTAGATTTGATAGAATACAAATCCTCGCAAAAGAACACCGATACCTACTTAGGATGATTCGCGAGGGTCTTGAAATTAATTCCTAATTTCAATAGAGAAGATGGATGGGTACTACCATCTCCTTGGGAACATATAGTTAAGTTAGTTACTGCAAGATCATTTCGACGACCAACTGTCAAACTGTGAACATTACGTAGTGATCGTCTCCGCATTTTTAATTAGTAACAATAGTAGAAAAGTGACCGATCGGAAAAAAAGTGCACTAAAAATAGCAAACAAACAGTGTTGATAAATTTAAACTAATAATCCTTTCGTGGGAAGTGATAAGTACAGTGAAATAACCATCGAAAATTTGCAAAATTATTTTGAAGTAGAGATGAGACGTATTTACGCTACCAGGTTTTAAAACCAGGTTTTCGCTTCAAAGTACGGCGCCCTGGTACGGGCAAAAAATACTTGCAAGTATGAAAGTATGTGTTGTAAGTCAGATGCTCGAAGAACTTGAACACAACACATGAAAATACTTGCATAGGAAAACGATCCATATCTTAATAGGAATAAGAAACTCAATCGTATTTGTGAATAAAAAATATTTTCAACTTCAAAGTATTTTTTTATTTATACGACTTTTTCTCCTTGTTCATAGTAGGATAACATGGAATACGGGTCGTATTCCTATGCAAGTATTTCAAAGTATTTCCAAATTTTGACACCGAAAGCAACGCGGGGTTCGCTCGATGCGTTGGCGGGAGGGACTCGCACAGTGTAGGTTGTCGAGCCCTAGTATTTCCGACGAAGGCCGAATGCTTGAACGGACATCTGTGTAGGTACTTAATGCACATGCCGTCCGATCGGATCGGGAACTTGTCAATCAAATAAGCTAACTAAAACGAAACTAATTAAGGAGCATAATTGCCTAAACATGCTATTCATAAAATTTCTTTTGACTATTTTGCACCATTCACCCTTATATCTGTATACAAAAGAAACATTATTGTGTATTTTACTTATTCGTAAATAAGAGAATTATGTTTATGTTCGAGGAAGTAAAAGTTTTGTTTCGATTTTTTGTAAATTCAGTTGTTATTGTAAACTGAGTACGTAACCTAGATCTGGAGTATCAAACCTTACCAAACATGTACAGAGAAAACATACTTCTGTTAATTTAATGAGAATACTGAAATACTGTAAAACCACAGAATATAATATATTCTTAAATATTATTTAGCAGACAGTCCTAAGCCTGTGATTTAAAAAGTAGGAAGGAAAGATTTCATTTCGTTAACAAAAAATTAAAAAACGTTCAATCATAATACTCGTAATTGTGGCCCGACTCGAAATAGTCATTCATATTATTGTATTGACATTAACAATACGGCGCGAGCAAAAAATACTTGCAAGTATGAAAGTACATGTTTTAAGACAGATGCTCGAATAACTTGAACACTATACGTGAAAATACTTGCATAGGAAAATAATCCATATCTTAATAGAAATAAGAAACTCAATCGTATTTGTGAATAAAAAATACTTTGAACTTCAAAGTATTTTTTTTTATTTATACGACTTTGCTCCGTATTCATAATAGGATAACATGCAATACGGGTCGAATTCCTATGCAAGTATTTTCAAATTTTGACACCGCGGCTGGACACGTCGCTCGCGTCAACAAAATACTTTTAAGTATTTTTAGAACCTGGTTTTCGACCCTGGTATTTTTCCATACTCGTACTTAAAAGCCCTGGTATTAAATTTTGCAAGTATGTCTCATCTCTATTTTGAAGTTATTAAATACCATAGACAAAAATTGGAAGTCCAACTACTGTCAAAACCCACAAAAGTTGCCAGGTCAAGCCAAAATCTACCAATTTGGCAGAAAATCGGTACCAAGTATGGACGAACAAACAAAAATGCTGTTGACCACTATAAAGGAAGAGATTGAAAAACAAAATGATAAACAAACCCAAACCATAACCGAGACTATCAGCAAAACTATTGAAGAGCAACTGTTACCAATAAAAAAGGAAAACGAAGCTATGAAGTCTGAGATTTTGCTACTAAGATCGAAAGTAAAATATCTGGAACTTGAAACGAGGAAAAATAATGTCTTACTGCACGGGGTTGAAGAAACTGAATATAACAATCTAGAATTAATGAATACTGTAATAGAACTATTCAACGTTCCTTGCACAACAGAACAAGCGGAGGAAGAGAAACACGACTGGGATAAATGGGAACATAGCAGCATATACAGAGTTGGGAAAAAGACAGAAGGCAAGATAAGACCTATAAAAATTTCATGTACCCTAACATGGAGAAGAAACGAAATCTTGAAAAAGAAGAAAAAATTCCCAGAAGGAGTCTACGTAACAGAAGATCTGTCTAAAGAGGAACTGGAAGAAAGAAAGACTCTTATCCCAAAAATGAAGGAAGCCAGAGCATCTGGAAAGTATGCAACAATAAGGAATGGCAAACTAATTATACGAGACAAAATGGAACCTGAAAAGAGGAAGAGAGCCCAATCCACCCCACCTTCTACTCCCCCAGACAACTTCAGCAAAGCCCGTGGAGAATCCAAGTTATACCAACCTGCTAAAATGTCGAGAATCAACCCAGCAGAAAGAATGAGAAGCCAATCAAATTCGAATACAGAGGAGACATCAAAAAACTAGAAATAGGCGGTAGTCGAAATAAAAACAAAAAACGAATACCACCAAAACAAAATTAACATTCCCCAACCCGGCTGGTCCCCGTGGTGAATTAGACCACCACCCACCAACCTACAAAAAACCAAACAAACATACACTACTAAACAAACGTACACTAGAAAACAACAAGAAAAACAACAACATTAACAACAAAGAAAAATGTAATGCCCCCTTTAAAGAAAGTATACAAATTGCAGCACTTAATGTTCTAACCCTAAAGTCGGATGAGAGTCTAACAGAACTAACTAAAGCATTAAATGATATCAAATGGGACATTCTGGGTCTCAGTGAAGTAAGACGAGCTGGAGAAAACATACAAGAATACGAGGACTTCCTTCTATATCACATAGGCAAAAAGAAGGCCAAAATGGGGTAGGATTTATTCTCAAAAAGCACATGGAACAATATGTTGATGAGTTCATAGGAATTTCGGACCGTTTAGCAGTGCTAAATATAAAGTTACCCAATTACGAAGATATGTGGTCTGTTGTGCAAGTTTACTCTCCAACTGAACAAGCAGACAAAAAGACAATTGAAGAATTCTATGAGAATCTAAACAGTACTATAGAGAGACATACGCATAAAAACTTAATAGTGATGGGAGACTTCAACGGCCAGACAGGTGAAAGCTTGCCAGAAGAAAAACGTGTTCTCGGACCTTTTACATATGGAACTCGACGAAGCAAAAATGGAACAAGACTCATTAATATGTTTTTTTCAATAGAAAATTCAAGAAATGGACATGGGTATCACCAGGAGGCAAATACAAAAATGAAATTGACTTTCTTCTCACCAACAAACCAATGTGTTTCACCGATTTAAATGTTGTGAACAAATTTAATTTCAACACGAACCATAGAATGGTCAGGGCAGATCTCACACTACGACATATAAAGACACAAAGACCCAGGAGGAACTTTGTTGGTAAGTTGAGTATTCAAAACCTAAAAGAAGCTGCAATTAAACTAACCGAAGGATGTGCAGACTTTGAGAAAGAAACCAAGAACCTAGATATTCAATAAAAATACGACTGGTTTGAGACTTCAATCAAACTAGCAAAAAGTACCTGCACTAATAAAGAAAAGAAGAAAAGCTATTTATCAATAAAAACAAAAAATCTACTCGAAGCAAGGAAACAAGTAATCAGTTCCAGAGACACAGAGAATCGTAGAAAACGCATATCAGAGCTGAGTAAAGATATAAAACAGAGTATGAGAAGGGATAGAAAACAAAACAGAAGAAAAAAAAATAGAAGAGCAAATCATTAGAACAGGAGGAACAAAAAAAGCATATAAAGAACTGTCAGAATCAAAAGATTGGGTTACAAAAGTTGGAAATGAGAAAGGAATAGAACAAAATAGAATATCAGACATAAAAGATATTGCTACATCATACTATAAACAATTATATGAGAACACACAAGAAGAACCTGGCGAATTAATAGTACTAAACGATGATGAGGATGAGAGCATACCCTATATACTGCAACGAGAGGTAGAAGTAGCATTACAGTCCCAAAGTAAAGACAAAGCCCCAGGGCCAGATGGCATTGAAAATGAAATCCTATTAATGGCAAAAAATGTCCTGTTACCAATTATCACGAAACTATTTAATGAAATTTTCGCAAACGTAATTATCCCGATACAATGGACGCAATCTAATATAGTATTGTTATATAAAAAGGGTGATAAACTTAATATAGGTAATTATCGCCCGATCAGCCTTATGTCCAACTTATACAAAATATTTGCGAAAATACTGCTAAGAAGACTGGAAAGAAAATTAGACGACAACCAACCAGACGAGCAAGCAGGTTTTCGTAGAGGGTACTCAGTATTGGACCATATACATGTTATGAGGCAGATTATAGAAAAATCCCATGAATACAACCAACTATATTACATGGCATATATAGACTACCGCAAGGCTTTCGACTCTTTTATTTCACAATAAGATATGGCAGGCCCTAAAAGAACAAGGTATCGAAAGCAAGTACAGTTAAAAAAGAAAGGAGAACCATTTAGCATACAAAAAGGTGTACGACAGGGCGACCCGCTATCCCCAAAACTTTTTTCTGCGGCCCTTGAGATGATATTTAGAAGACTAAATTGGGACGGATATGGAATAAGTATTGATGGAACTTGGTTAACACATTTAAGATTTACAGACGACATCGTTCTCTTTGCAAAAACCCCACATGGACTGAATGTCATGGCAAATGACTTGGCATTAGAAAGTCACACGGTGGGATTGAAAATGAACATGGAGAAAACGAAAATAATGACCAACGGAAAACATCAGGGTTGGCCAAAGTGAGATAGAATACGTTGATGAATACATCTATCTGGGCCAAATGATCTCACCCACAGACAACATGGAAAAAGAAATCAACAGGAGAGTAGCAAATGGATGGAAAAGATATTGGAGCATGAAGGAAATAATGAAAGATAAAGAACTGCACATATCCATTAAATCTAAAGTGTTCAACACATGCATTCTTCCTGTATTGATGTATGGATGTCAAACATGGGCTCCTACTAAGTTAAACAGTAAGAAATTAAGCATATGCCAGCATTCGATGGAGCGAAGCATGATGGGAATAAGGAAAAAGGATCGAGTCAGGTTAGAAGACATTAGGAAAAACACAAAGGTTCGGGACATAGCAACAAAAGTCAGGAAATTAAAGTGGAAATGGGCTGGGCATATGAGTAGAGGGAAGGAAAAGTGGAGCAGGAAGGTCACAGAATGGTACCCCAGGAATGGCATAAGAAAGAGGGGGAGACCCCGCCAAAGATGGGAGGACGACCTGGTCAATTTCGCGGGTATGACTTGGAGCCGGGTTGCCAAGGATAGAAACGAGTGGAAGAGGTTGGAGGAGGCCTTTGCCGATTGGCAATCAGCAGAAGACAATCTAGATTTTATATGACTTAGATATTAAGAAATTGTATTACGTACTGTTGAATAAATGGCTTTTATTATAGTTACTGCAAGATTTCAAGATAGTGTAAGCTAATTATGCATAGATTGGACCAAAAATTAATAACAAAAACTGAAGGTAGCTGGGCAAACTATGACATCGGGACGTCAAACATCTGTAGTATTATTCTAAACAACTGTCATTTATTACCGACTGACGCCAAATTTACAAAATAAAATGTGCTACTGTAGATAACAATATCAAATTGATTTTGCTTTACTTATCGCTTGGTCATTAATACCTTTTTTTTCTGTTTCAGGAAAAATTGGTGATAGGTCACAATATGTTGTTAGACCTCATACACACACTTAACCATTTCTTTCAACCATTACCTGCAGATTATACATCTTTCAAAGAATTCGCACATTGCATGTTCCCTCGGTAAGTTCAACATTGCTTATAATTTTATCAATAAAATATATATAAAAATATTGCTGTTATTGTTATAAGAATAAACATTGTGTGTCATATTAATTGTACCTTCAACCAATGTATTTCATATATTTTACTATCATACCTTGAAATTGAGATTAAAAGATATCACTCAATTTTTTAATTACCTATATACAAAAATTCATTAATGAAAAAACTTAATTATTTCTACATAGTACCTTACCATAATAATGTAACCATAAGAAACAGAACTAGGAAATGTGCAACAGTATCTTCCTGATGACTGAATAAAAATGAAACTGCGGCTGTCAACCCGTTTGATAAGCGTGGCAACTATTGCAAATATCCTCTCTAAGAGACCATTTATGGGAGTCCTATGTTCAGAAGTGGACTTTTGATAGGCTGTAATAATAAGTACGTAGTAAAGTAAAGTGACAGCTTAAATACGTCCTGAGTCAGGCACAGACATCCTATCATTTCTGTGAGGGATTTAGGGCAATGCCCACCACCCAATTCATCACTGACCCAATGCCCGTTAACGGACTTCAGATGTCTTCGAGATATTTTTTTAATTTCTCAGATGAGCAGTTTTCTTTACGATGTTTTTCTACAATGCTGAACACACTACAATTAACAATTCATACATCTATTACATGGTATTTAAAATGTGTATTCCCGTTTCAGGTTACTAGACACGAAATATATGTCAAGCCTCCCCCCATTCAAGGACAAAGTTAACTCTAGCGTCTTGCAGCATTTGCTTGCGACACTGTCGGAGCCGCCGTTTTCAGTTCCTAAAGCAGGTGAGTATGTAGAGGCAGCGTAAGCTAATCCATTATTCTATTTCGCTTCGTGGATGTAGTAGATGCCGATAATGGAAAAGACGGTAAAAGGTTTTACAGCATCCGCTAGATGGCGATATAATCAGGTGGTAGGATTTCTTATTCTAGGTGGTGGGACTGCCTTTCTGCCTAGACGTCCTGTGTGATACCACCGTCTTTCCTATTTCTGTCCCCGAGACCTGCGTTCCGGTCTGAAGGGTGTATTGAGCCACTATACTTACAGGCTGTGAGGCATTCCTTCTAGGTTCTCAGATATATTGCTATGGTTTTTTTATAAGATAAGGGTGACAAACAAGCAGAAATGTTGATATGTTGTAGGAGGACTATGATGGAATGACGAGGCATTAGAGAGACCGGGGAAGGATCACACTCTCACAGAATACCACCGTAAAATAATAATGCTGCCGTGTTTCATATGGTGAGTGTAGAGAATCGGAGACCCTTTTTATTGGAAATGAGGCATTCCATCTTAGTCCTCATGGGTGACAACACATCTGCATTTTGATTCGTAATCGAGGAAAGATTTATGGGCCACAGCAACCACTTACCATCAGGTGGACTGTGTGCTCGTTTGTCACCCTATCCTATAAAAAAAATACCTACGCGCTTTGCGCTTAAGGCATGCAACATGCTAAAACTCACACTCCTTGTGGAGTGCAATATGTTTAAAAAGGGGTACAAAGTTTTCCCTCTACCTGTTATTATATAGATTTTTTAGCTGAGCGATCCTTGTATAGCTAGTACTATGAAAAGTATCGTGCATAGATATAGTGTATGTTAGATTGGCGATGGAGTGATCAGAGCGAGACCAAAGTCAAAATACATTATCAGTGTGCATGAAATTTGCATGTGTGGGAGACAGAACTTTAATTATCGATACCGATTTCAGTATATTCCTTCTGATTCGACGCAGATGATGTAAGTGAATATTTTTAATAGATTACGACGTGCGTATGTATGTTTTTCTGTTCTCTCAGATCTTCTAAATTACTCATAGTATTTTGACAAATTAGATATCTTTAGAAGCATTGTGCTCTTTCCCGGATTTAAGGCTGCATGAAGTCACATGTTTTATTTATTTATTGAACTTCGGACCACAAGCAAGTTCACAATTATCAACTTATCTAATGTAAATTACTACACATTTTTTATTATTGTAAACTCAGTCACTTACTTAAGTATAACATTTATTCAATGATAGATACAGCTTGTTACAGAGTATAACTTGACATTGACAATATCTTGTTATTCTTAATCTAGAAGTAAAGTCTAAACACAGTATCGACTAACAAACATTGTACATCTTGGATATATGACACCACTGCTCATTAGTTTTTTTTTAAATGGTCATGTCATATATTCCATTATCTACACAGTGAGTACTTTTTTAAATTTTTCAGTGACACTATACATTTTTTCTTTTGCATTGCCAATCTATTCTAAAGTTGTTAATAAATAAATCTATGGTATCGTGTCGGTGGCGGTACCCAGTAGGGGCGGTGTAAGTATATTCAATACCCCACATCATCCCGTGCAGGTAAGAGGCGCCAGAGGGAAACAAATCGGGAGATGACTTCTTCCTAATAACGGCTAAAAAAAATACGTGTGCACTTCACACGCGGTAGAAGTGAAACATTATTTTTTCGGGGAATTTTTCTTTAGTGGGAATTTTTTCAATTTCTGTCTGTGTGTTCTATGTCTTAGAACATAGACCGCGTTACCGGTCTATTTTCTTTAAATCTGGTATAGGTATGAGAGACGGCATACCTCAATTTATCTAGTCTAGTCGACGGTAATCCGTAATTGTGAGTGGAAGAAATCCAGTAAAAGGGGAAAGGTATTATAAAGGAAGATCGGCAGCAACATCTTCTCGATAATAACTCAAATATAAAAAAAACTGCGGTTACCGACGTGCCAGCCGAGCGTAGCAACTATGATAAAATTCGCTACATGAGAGCTCTATGGCAGAGTCCTAACTTCATCTGTGGACATTTATAGGCTGTAGTGGGTGGACACGCAATCAATGAGCGGCCATGAAATTTATTATTATCTATAATTATTATCTTAATATACCCTATTAAGATAATTTTGTTCAATATCTGTAAAAAAAAATGAAAGAAAAACTAAATATTTTTTTTGAAGTCAAAAATAGATCAGTGGAATGGTGGATTCGAACCTACAAACTTTTTAATTCATGGTCTGCACTCTATTCTATTGCATTTTCGAATTGCTATTCTCGTTTTAGATGTATATGTTTGTTTCTTTTTAGTTTCGCTTTTTCGTTTCATCGAGTTTTCAAATCACAATGATTCTAAAGAAGTTTTCACTTCAATAAAAACTGCGGTTGGCAACCCGCTTGCCAAGACAGGCAATTATGGCAAATGCAGTGGACTTCAATAGACTGTAGTCGTAACGGTAATGGTGTGGGTGCAGAGTCGGTGGCGGGGCGCGGGTACCAGCGTGCGGACGACAAGGCGCACGAGGCGGGCTACGACGCGTACGTGACGGGGCTGTGCTTCCTGGCCATGCACGCGCACCTGGCGCGCATGCGCGGCGAGGTCGCGGCGCGCCTGCCCCAAGCCGATACCGCGCCACTCAAGCCCTTCCTCAACAAGCTGTTCCTCGCCAAGACCGCGCACCAGGACTCGCCCTACATGAACCTCAGCGGCGACGATCGTGAGTCACACTTGATTTAATGTTTTCGATTTGAATATTGTTTTTGTTTTTCTGTTGCTCACCAGGTCGTGCTCTATACGATAAATGATACTATAGGGATATTCTCAAAGTATTTAAAAAATATAAGTAACTAACTTGCCAGGCAGACGTTGTTCTGCCCATTTCGACGACAATTTGTCATGTCCTATTTATTAAAAATCCTTAAAATCGCAAAAAAAAAAATTGTGGGTCACTCATAGTAAAAAACACTATCCTATCTCTCAAGTTGGACCAAACTGCACACACTGTGCAAATTTGATTATAATTGGTTAAGTAGTTTGGGATTATATCGCGGACAAACAATGTGACACGTAATTTATATATATTAAGATTATATGCAATTATTTCAGTTATTGAGTATACGGGTCATTAAAGCTTCTACTTTTATTTGAAGTTATCCCAAATAGAAAGTGATTTATGGACAACAACTACGTGTACGCGTGCTCCTGTGTACGATTCAATTCACAACGTTTTTGCCGACCGAGCGACCCTTACAAATGTGTACGTGCGTAGTAAAATAGTAGGCGTTAGATATTTATGATAACCCATTAAAATAATGCATTACCACCCATTCTGAATTTAAAAGATAAACAAGACAGAATGTTTGAGACTTTTTCAAATTAATTTTTATTCATCTATGTGTGTTCGCGCGCGTGTGTGCTAATGGAGTGTCCGATCGATCGAAAAGTGGTTTGCGGCATGTGAAAGGGCCTCCATGAACTTAGATTTTCTGTATACCGAATCGGCGCGGTAGATTCTGAGAAAACCTCTAAAATTCGAGTTTTTTTTTTAAATTTTTTGAAAGTGTTTTTCTTTTTTTATGAATTATTTCAACACCCTTGATTTGATTCTATAATCTAATCAGCTCTTCTACTCAAAAAATGACGTTGATTTTCGTGAACCGCATCAATCAGTTGATGGTTGAGAGATATCTTTGTCGAAAGAAAAAGTGTTTTTTCAAAATAAATTGTTAAGCTCAAAAAACTGCGTTTTTGCGCGACCGTATCAAAACCAAAAAAGCTCGAAGAGCTCAAAAACGTCGTAACAGGCAGTTGCAGGGATGGCCTGTAGGGTCAACCATATTTTTTAAAATAGCAGTAGGTGAATTGCTTATAAGTTCTCGCCCTATAGGAACCTCAGTGGTGTCGACCACGAGTCGCACTTCATTATTATTGTTTATTTCATCTTAGCAATAGGTAAACTGCTCACTAGTTCTCGCTCTATATGAACCTATACTCCACCAAATCTAAGAAATACCTTTTGATGTTTCACATTAATCACTCCGCAATAACTTTGTACAAGTGTACGATATAAAATAACCTTTTACGTAAGTACAAAGAATTATAAAGTTATCTGTATTTTATCACAACATTTATAGTTTTTTTTATTACTAATTTAAATTCGAATCTTTCAAATATTTCATCAATCGAATATTTCAAACAAAGCAAAATATATGGAACTTTACCAGAACCAACTTTTATGCTTGATATTGCTTCAATTGTATGTTATGCACCTTGCCATAGTATTTGGATGATTCAAATTCATGCTAATGCGAATAATCGGTAAAAATATTCGAATAATGAAATTTACATTTTTTTATTATTTGTTTATTTATATTTTTATTTTTAGAGTTGCATAATTTTTTTTTCAAAAACTCGAATCGTGACTAATTCACAAGTTTACATAACATAAACATAAACACTCACGCCTGTCACCCAGAGGGCTAGGCAGAAATTACACACTTCCCTTTAGCACAATCCTGACATAGCTCTCTCGCCTCCTCTACATCCATATACCTACGCATACATGATCGTCGCTAAGGGTACTCCTAATCTGGCCCATTTTTAATATATCGCCAATTTGCTCGACAAACTTTCGCCTAGGACGTCCCTTTCGGACTCTTCCATTCACTTCATAATTGGATAAGGAATTGGCAAATACAAAAAATTGACAATCGCAAAACAATTATTTAGAGACACTAAAGCAAAGAATAGGTATAGGCAACGCCACGAGTCATGGAAGTGCGCAGAAGCGAAAAATAGGTGTCGGCACGGTGAGGTGTGAGGTACGGGGAAGCGAAACCATAGCAACGGAGGCTACTCCCAAGTTTCCCTCTGCGTTCCGTCCCCCGCGCACCTTCTTGTGTAGTCTTGTGTACTGTCGATATCGAAAGTGTTAGCGACTACCTGTTATAAAATTTTAAATTTTTGCGATTATTTTTGTACTTTTAAAAATACTGATCTATAATATTTTCAAATAGTGTGTAAATATTTATTACTTTATAAATTATTTTGGGACTATTTAAAATAGCGTAATTCGTAGTATATTGCATAAAGTTGTAAATATTTTGTTATTTTCTACAAGATGATTTTTTTTGCTAATTATTGCATGTAAAATAAAAAAAAAATTATAATCGAAGACTATCGCATATTATAGTTTAAACAATTACAAATACAAAAATACAAATACAAAATATTTTATTTCTTTAACTAAGTGTACATAAAATGCAGAATATTATTTAGAAGTAGTTAAAACCTAACGATGATATATAAATATATCGTTCCGTTTTCGTGGATACTTAGATGTGTAGTTACAATGTTGACCTTTGACTTTTTACATATTCAAATCCCATAATAAAATTTTCATTTTTCTGCTTGTACATGCGCAGTGGACTCTATTTAATTTCATCTATCGTGGCGCGACCTATAACATTTTTACGAGAAATTTAAATTCATATGACACATGGTTAAACACCAACCACACTGTGCTGTAGACATAGACAGATGACATGTGCTCGTGGAAAATGTTGGGCTCCTCATAATTTGCCATGTGGGCTCCGCTGGAGAAGAATTTGTAGAAAATACAACTACTTACTACTATTACTATTACTACTAAACAAACGATTATTGGGCCAAAGTGATTGAGAAAACAAAGAAAAAGACACATTCATTTTGAATGAATTTTAGAAAATCAAATAATAATTAATGTAAACAGTGATGATGATGATGACGACAGCTCAACTCTTCAGTTCTTCTGTTTTGGCTTTGATATAAGCAATCATGGCTAAATCCTTGCTTATCTGAGCCTTCCTTGCTTATTTTTTGTAGTTCTTCAGAGGGCTTTTGGCGTTTCTTTACTGTGAAAATAAAAAAAAACATAGCTAAATTTTCATATTATACACTCTCCTAGCTTGATAGATTGGATGACTGATGACCACAGAGATCAGGCACACTGAACAAATTTGACATAAAAAACATTTAAGTAACAACTACTGTTCAAAGTACATACATTAAAAACTTTTCACATTAGAGAACCAACTGTCCTATCTGCTAACTGTATCACGATGTATGTACCTTTCACGATTCATATCATATTTACTACTATTAGCCATTTTCGTCAATCTGTAAAATCAAAAAAATTTTACATGGTAGAGCCATGCTGCAGTTATGTTAGTAGTTTAGTTGTAGCACGAATGGGTCGGCTCGACTGGGGAATGACCACGCTCTCACAGAACACCAGTGTCAAATAGTAACTTAATGCTGCTGTGTTTCGTATGGTGAGTGTAGAGAACCGGAGACCCTTTTTACTGAAAACGGGGCATTCCACCTAAGTCCTCACGGATGACAAAGCATCTGCATTTTGATTCGTAATCGAGGATAGATGTAGATGTCTATGGGCCGCAGCAACCACTTACCATCAGGTGGACTGTGTGCTCGTTTGTCATCCTATCCTATAAAAAAATCTGTGTGACCCATAAGCAAGCAATGAATATCCAGGGAACTTTTTATTAACTCAAATCGAAAGTTTAGTAGCGAGTATCATACAGTAACAATTCTGTAAACCCTGGGGTAGGTCATTATTACAAAACTTATCAAAATTTATTGAAAATAATATTGTTGCTGCTTTATATAAAAAGTACCTAGAAGTTTTTTTCTAAGTACTTTACAATATAACAAAGTATATTACTTATATAAAGCCGCAAAATTATTTTTATAATGAAGAATTTAAAAAAAAAGTGTCTCCGGATCTCATACGAAACACAGCAGTATTAAGCTGCTATTTTTCGCTGATATTCTGTGAGAGCGTGGTTCTTCCTTGGTCGAGCCGACACATTCGTGCTATAACCATAACATAGCTGCAGAGTGGCTTTACAATATATTAAGTTTAACGTGTACATCTATGGATACTGCATCTGTTACTTTATTAATATTTTAATATTTTTCAGCTACACCATCAAGAGATCATGTATTCCACTTGACATTCCCAAAAGAATGGCAGAGAAATGACATCAATCAGCTGTTCAGTGCATTTGGTAAGCCCTGTTTTAATTTAATATGTCATTCATTACAGCCTATTAAAGTCTTTTGCTAAATACGGGGCTCCCTATTGAATGCCTCATAAGAAGAATATTCGCCATAGTTGCCATGCGTGGCAGCCACGTGGCAACCGCAGTTTTTTCCTAGTTGTTATTAGGAAGATTATTCCATTCCATTTACTTTTTTTATTTCTTCTGTAGCCACTCACATCTTCTCATCTAATTTTTTAAAATCTATACTTGTCGTAGAGTATTTTTGTTTGTTTAAAAACGCTAATCTCTGGAAATACTAGTCCGATTTAAAAAAATTATTGGTCAGAATCACGAAAAATAGTATATAGACTATCTAGCATTGGGCTCAACTGTTAGCTAGCCTTAAATATTGCCCATTAGCCTTTCTTTCTTCTATTTTTGCTAAGCATGTTAGAAGGAAGAAAGCGCTCTCTTCTTTATCCGCGTGTACTGACGTAATGGTTAGTGATACGTAAATACAGAGTTGTTCAAAATGTAGATCTTTACTCCGTCTAAAAAGTCCGCGATATCAAATGCTTTTTTCTTCTACATAAGCCACAATAAAGTATTTTGGAAGAAAAAATATTCAAAATTAATAAGTGATCAATGAGGATTATTATTTAGGCTTTGTATATTAATCCTAACGAACAAAGGTTACTTTATCATTAAACAATTTTATGAAGGTAAACTTTGCTCTTTATAGCATGTTATTTGTCGCATAGTTTAAGATATAATGAAAAATTAAAATAATTCAGCACTTCGATTGGCACGCGAACGAGGCGTAACCCTAGCTGCCCGATGAGAACCGAGAGAAACCAGCAGTTAACGCCTCTATAAGCGTGGTTCCATATCGCGCGGCTCAGACGCGTGATATACGTGGGTGAAACCGCCGGGCACAGTTAGTCTTATTATGATAGTATAACAGCGCAGTGGCTTAACAATGGGTGCGTTCGGCAGAAAAAAGCGCTAACAAGCGCTTGTAAGCAAAATGGCGATGGTAAGCGGTAAGCGCTATCAAATCGTAAGTAGCTATTTTCCTCTAGGACATGAAGTTAGTTTTAAACGGGGAACCTAACCTAATTTAAATATATGTTTGTTAAGTATTCATTTTAAAAACTTACCTATCATGAATTTTTAATAACATGTATATGTTTATTCATGTCATTATATTACTTAAATCTAATATTGCACAAAACAACTTATAAACTCTACTTCAAAACAAATTAAATAAGCAAAATGGCGGATTGTGTCAGCGCTACTGAAGTTAGCGAACGTGTCCTGGCCGAAAACTGTTTAGTTTCGCCATTTTGCTTACAAGCGCTTGCTAGCGCTTTTTTCTGCCAAACGCACCCATTGAGTTGAAGCGCTGAGGACCGCGAGTACGAATCCTGCACGGAACAAGTATTTGTATGGCCTACAAATAATTGTGCCGGGTCTTCATGTTTGTCGGTGTGAAATTTATGTATGTAACCTGCCCCCACGATGAAGTGATGAGAAAATCCTAGTGTGGAGATAACGTTTAAAAAAAAGAAATGAAAAAAATGAATTGAAATATCGCCGTACTTGTAGCTGACCAGATCAACGTCGCCAGTTTGTCATTATCTTTATACAAATTTAACCACTATTGTAATGGTAATAGGTGCGTTTTCGTTCGGCAGGTCCAATAACGATGCAGTTCTTAGATGACACGTCAGCGTTGGTGGCGCTTTCACGGCGGGAACAAGCGCGAACCGTAACGCGAACGTTCGCGAACAACGCACGCATCTCTCTCGTCCCTTACGTCAAGTACAAACGGCTTAGTTCTAAGGTAAAAGGAACTTATTATTTTACCTAGTCTACAGTAAAAAGGGTCTCCGGTTCTCTAGACTCGCCATATATAGCACAGCAGCATTAAGCTGCTATTTTACGCTGGTATTCTATGACAGCGTGCTCCTACCACGGTCGAGCCGACCCGTTCATGCTACGACCATAATATAGCTGCAGCACTACCAAGTAAAAAAGGTGTAATCCTATCACTTGTTTTCCATCAAAATTTTTGTATTTTTTGGCTAAACAGCGTGTTGTTTTTAGGGTCTGGGATTTCGGCCTTAAGTTTAGATCTATCGATTTATAATTAAAACTATAATTTGCTTTGTTGTAGCGGGCCAAGATAATCTGTCTCCTCATCTGTCCCGTGGATAAGATAATATTGTAAGATAACGGTGTTGTAAGATAATGGTGCTGTAAGATAATGGTGTTGTAAGATAATGATGTTGTAAGATAATGGTGTTGTAAGATAATGGTGTTGTAAGAATATGGTGTTGTAAGATAATGGTGTTGTAAGATAATGGTGTTGGAGGATAATGGTGTTGTAAGATAATGGTGTTGTAAGATAATGGGAAATACCAGAAAAAAATTATGGTATCCATAAGATGGCAATATACCTACTACTCATTTATGCCAGAAGAATAAGTAGAACAATATTATGACCGGCTACGGTCACGATATTATTATTAGCTTAACATAGTCCAAATAACTTGCGGCTCTTTGGACTCTGCCTTCTCCCTCGGGATTACAGGTGTGAAACTATGTTTTAATTAGTTGTCAGAACGAAAATTTTCTCTAGAAATTGTACGGTGATACGAGCAAACTTGTTATCGTCTCGTTAACGCCCAAGCGTAAAAACCACTGGGTGCTAATTTTTATAAAATTAAAGTGACGAACTTACAGTTGTGATGGTAAGTGCTTACTGCAGCCACTGGACATAAATTCAAACAAAGAAGGTTACAAATGTGTTGTCACCTCTGAGGATCCATGATCACCTGTAAGATGTAATTCTGCCTGTAATTATGCTGTCTATCTCTGCTCTTTAGATCGAAACGCATCTGTACACGTATTGTTATGACGGAAATAGGTGGCATCTACTCGGACGGACTTTTGGGCAGAAGAGCAAGTCGTACCACCTTTAAATCTTAAGTTAGTTTCGTCTGTATAGTAAAATAACTTTACTATCCTGATTCCCCTGTGTCCATCGATTTACCTTGAGGTAATTTGGCTTGGGATAAATTAAATAATGCCATTTATTCTGTCCCAGGTACAACAACAGCCCGTGGAATGTGTACGTGAAAGGTTATCGAGCAACGAGCTGACGTCAGCAGTGTGCGTAATTTCACTTGGAATCATCTTCTCATTTCTTTTTAAATCTGATTTGTTTCTATATGTATCTGTTTTGTGTTTGTGTTGGCTTGCTAACTTTTACATCGGCGCTTATTTTTTTTGATGACATCGATTACTCGAATATCGATTTCAAAAATCGATAGAATATTTTCGAATATAATGTTTAATTTGTAGGTGATATTTTTATGTTCCTATTTGTTCGAACAATTTGCACAATATTATTTAGTTTAAATTTTTATTTTAGTTTACTTTGAAGCGTATTTGATTTTGTGTCGTGGCGAATATTTTCCACTATCATTTGCACTTTGCTTGCATTGTTGCCGTTTTTATAAATTGGTTATTAAGTTATTATAATAATTAACCATTAACTTTGAAAATCGAAAGCAAAAAATTTTAAGAGCAAAATATTTTTATGTCTGGAATATATAGTATAGAGGGAAAGGTAATGCTCGTTATTTTTTTATTAGTACGCGTATAACATTGTGCTCTACATAATTTGTTCCTCATAAATCAGAATGCTATAGCGTTCATCATATTTTGATGAAGGTAAATGAACAAGAGCTTTTTTAATTTTTATAGATTTTTAGTGGTCTTTTATAAATATTAAGGTAAGGAGACATTACCACGTATTTTGAAGCATAATATTTCTAAAACATACCTAATTGCTAAAAAACCTATTTGATACGTTTCACTTTGTGTACGTTCCAAAATAGAACCCAGTGTACCATCCAATGCAAATGACGTCATGAATCGACGCTATACTGCTTATTCGTTCCAAAACATAGGACAGTATATGACGACATACATTTACGTCATTTTGTGCTCTAAAAATCACTATATCTTCCTAATGGAGATACCAGCAATTATTCTATAATTTTTTGTATTTGAATAAATAAAAAAAAATTCTGGCATGCTTCATTCAGCGCACAAACAATTAAAAATTGTTTTATTGTGGCCGGATATCCGACGCGGCGGCGGATATTGGCGGCGGCACGCCAGTACAATATAGTGTCAATTGATGACGTCATTTGCATTTGCCAGTGTACTGGGTTGTATTTCGGAACATACCCTTTGTTTTGTACTACTTGATGGGAAATGTGAAATATTTGTGCAAATATATAATATATAAAACACTCTTAGTAATGATGGTACATAGTGGATAAATGGTGGGCCTGTGTTCAGGAGTGGGACACGTAGGCTATAACTTTAACTTTATTTTGTTTTCTATAAGAAACGATAGAGCCGTTTCCGAGAAACCTATATATAGTCTTTGGCACGCGTTTGGGACTTGCTTAAAGCTAAAATAATAACCACGATGCCTACTACTAGCAACTTTTTGGAACCGACAGTACAATGTACACACAAAACTTGTAATGAATTCGGTCCTATATATTAGACACATTGAAACACGTACAAAAAGTATATTCTAGCCAAGTTCTATAACTATAAGAGCTATAGTTTGAAAATGTGATTTTTTTTTAAATTAACGCAACCCGCAAGCCTTCTTGCGGGTCTCTCTCTTAGCTGACCTCTACTCAGCGGAAGGAATATTCCTCCCAAATTTCAAGTCTCCAGGGCCTTATGGTTCCAGACTTAGATTACTATAATATATACATAATAGAACGGGGGAGTGGGCGGAGCCCGCGTACCCACTAAAATGTCACTAACACGTCAATTCACACGTATAAATGTCAACACGAGATGTATTTTGACGTTACAATCGTTTCCAAAGTTCGCATGCAAATTTCTATTTACAACTAAATATGTATTAAAATTTAATGATGATCTTGAATAATAATCAAAAGTTTAAACCATGTAAATTTACTCAGTCTGTCAACACAGGGAATCGGGTTTGGCGACGCCAATCCTCGTATAAAATAAAGTTGACAGCCATTCTATTGTGTACTATATAGTATTTTATGTTCCAGAGATATCTTGATGAGTCAGTACATAGATGGATATCTTATCTATCTATATATCTATCTATCTATATATATATATATATATATATATATATATATATATATATATATATATATAAAGAGATATACATTATACATTGTTGCATGGCATAGTAATGTATCAAGAATTATCAACATATCTACAGTTAACATGCATCTTGTAAGCCGCGGCCCATATACACCTACCTCCTATCTATCCTCTATTAAGAATCAAAATGTACTTGTCATCTCTGACGACTGACGTAGAATACCTCGGTTACATACAAAAGGTCTTTATTTCTCGTTACTTATAGTAGGAAACTTAGCAGCACTATGCTGCTATTTGTGTAGTACAAGACATTAGTATTGAGCGGGATCCTTCCTTGTTTGTGCCCATTCGTATATCCTGCATTTTTAAATAAGAGAATTTAAGACTTATTTAAGATTACTAATTTATAGTATTTGTGACTGGAGTAATTTTATTAATATACATGCCGACGAGACAAAACAATGAAAGGGAGAAAATTAGTGGGATTTGAAAATCACCGATATGTTTGAACCGAAATCAATTGTAATGAGTAATGAGTAAAATTGTCTGAAGGGTATAGCTAGCCAATATAATTGCGGTCTGTGAGACATTCCATCTTGGTCGCATCAATGCGTGGTCACCTCTGAGGATTTTTGCCTTCTTTGTTTGATTTAAGTCACTTAAATTTTATAAAAAAAATACAGTACAGAGATTAGTTGGCTTATATTATCTTTATTACCTATATAATAAAACACTTTATATTGTAATAGCCACCTCTATAACAAAACAATATTTTATGGCATAGGCGTACATTAGACGCTCATGCCGGCTGTCAGTTTTACAACAATCACGGTTGCGATTGACGAACCTACCGTGTAATGCAGAGATTGACACCTGCATGAGCGCGTTATGTACGCTTATCAGTCACCATCCGTTTTTTATCAATCATAATTGATGAAATTGATTGACGCCTGCATGAGCGTGTAATGTACGCCTTAGACATGTGTCCTTTTTGTTTTGTTAATGCGTTTATGTACGTTTATTAACGGTTTACATTTTCGAAGTTTCTCTTATTTTTTAGGCGGTCTAATCGCATTAAATATATGGAAAGTGTTGGCTTAGCAAATTCTCCGTTACTTTGTATTTATATTAAATATAAGTACGGAGTAACGGACTATTGAGAATAATAGGAATTTTAGAAATTGACTAAAACTCAATTTTATTTACTTTTTATATGAGATGGAATGCCTCGTTTCCAGTAAAAAGGGTCTCCAGTTCTCTACACTCATCGTACAAAAAAAACTCATTACCATGAAGCTGCTATTATTCTGGTATTAACATTCTGTGCCTGCGTGCTGCTACCAGACAGCAGTAACTCTAAAGATATCCACTACTATTGTTAAGAATTTTATTATTTATAATTGAAACTTTTAGTTAATTACAAAATGCAGTAACTCATATGAATAAGTAAGTATTCTCTCTTATGAGAATTGAGGATTTGAGGATATAATTTAAACAGATTCTTAATTGTATGTTTATTTAACGTAATTTTTGTATTTGCTAGAAAAGTGCCTTTTTTAGATTAGCATTAACTATTTAGTTTTTGGAATAAAACGAGCCTTCATTATCCTGGAAGCTTTTTGTCCTACCAGTTGTTGTTTTTATTATTATTGTTTCTTACATTTTTCTTGTGATCTTTACAAAATAAAATCATTCAAGATCCTTTTACGCCTTTTGGGAAGATGTCATCCAAATATTCATAATTGAAAGTAGAAAATAGCTCGGTACATTAATACGTGAACACTTTTCTCTTCACTTGGACTCGAATAATTGAGAACTCCAACCAACTTAAAATGAAATGTGATTAAATTTGCAAAATTATAGTTTCGATCGATTTGTAGTATGCGAAAAAGAAATAGAAATTATCAAACAAATTTTCGCTCGAAAAGTAATAATATGAAGAATTTTTTTAGTCATTTTTGGGGATGGTTTTTTAAAAATGGGATAGAGGTTTTTTCTAAAAAAAATATTGTGTCACAAACGAATGTTCAGTTCTAAAACTATTTGCGTTCGGGTTTTAATGCATGTGCATTAGGGGGTGCGTTTTCATCGGAGCTGAGAAGAGCAAAAGTGAGACGTGGCGCTGAGAAACTTTATTTGAAATTCGTAGCATGTCTCCGTTATATTTCAATAGAAATAGTGTTAGTAGAAGTGAGTAGAGTGACGCAGTATGAAGCGAGGTGTGAACTCTGTAACCGATCACGTTTTATTTATTACATGATGTAATAAGACTGTATATTCTCACTAAGCTTTGCTCTGGATTAAAATGCAACGGCTGACAAATGACACTTCTTTGCATAGCTTCTAATTTACGTGAAAACGCAATTTTACCCGTAATGAAATGTATTTATTATACTCTGTTTACTTAGTATAGAAATAGTCATGAATGTCTTGGTAATTTGCACTGAGAAAGTCCGAATCTTTTATGTTTGCTATTACTTGTATGTTTCGAGTTAGGGTAGAAAACTAATAAGTGTTAAAACTCCAACCCACGCACAATGACCTATTCTAGTGGCTTGCGTAGCATTTTATAGTATACTTCTCGAATGAGTTTTAGCAAAAACTGTTTTCCACCCTTAGTCAATTGTTACTTTATTTTGATATTTTATTATGCATGCTTATAGTTTCATTTATGTTCCGTCTTAATATAAAATGTGGTTATTGATAGTCTTGTCCTTAAACTATTGTTTTAAAATTATTTAAAAGCGAAAACTTCTTTATCTGAACAGATTTGTCTAAACCAGAAACTAATTATAGTTCTTGCAATTAACGAGTGCGGTCGACCTTTGGATGTGATTCGACATGCACAGTGTGTCAGTGTACGTGCCTGGCCTTCGATCAACAATACCAACTAGATAACGGGTCACGTGCAAAATCATAGCTAAATACTGTCCGCGTGAATATAAACTTAAACAGCTACATCTGTTTACTAAAGAAATGAGACAAAAATTAAA